TGCTGGTGGCCGCCGTGCTGCTGCTGCTGGTGGCCGTGCTGGTGGCCACCACCGCGCCGCGTCCTGGTGGCCCTGTCCAGCCGCTCCAGGTCGTCGTCGCTGTCCAGGTCCGAGAACTCCACCAGGTCGTCGTCGCGCAGCGTGCTGAAGTGGCGCGTCTGCTTCCGCACGCGCGGCGTGTCGATCACCAGGTTGTTCTGGGTGGACGTGAGTGGACACTGGTCAGTGACCACCAAGTGACCACCAAGTGACCACCAGGTGACCACGCCCAAGTGACCACGCCCACCTGACCCCACCCAGGCGCTAAAGTGGAGTTTCTCCTTCCGCACGCGCGGCGCGTCAGTCACCAAATTATTCTGGGTGGACATGGGTGGACAGTGGTCAGTGACCACCAAATGACCACCAAGTGACCCCCAGGTGACCACCAGGTGACCACGCCCAAGTGACCACGCCCAGGTGACCCCACCCAGGTGCTAAAGTGGAGTTTCTCCTTCCGCACGCGCGGCGCGTCGATGACCAAACTGTTCTGCGTGGTCCAGCTGACCACGCCCAGGTGACCACGCCCAGGTGACCACGCCCAGGTGACCACACCCAGGTGACCACGCCCATGTGGCCCCGCCCACCCGGCCCCGCCCACCTTGCTGTTGAGCAGGTCCAGGTCCAGGTCGGCCTTCTTGGCCCACTTCTGCCAGAAGTTGGGGTCGTCCAGCGCGATGTCCGTGCGGTTCTCCGAGGCCACGAAGCTGGCCTGGGGGGAGGGGACGGTCACACACCTGGGCACAGCTGGCCACAGCTGGAGATCCGCCAGGGCCACCAGAAATCACCTGGAGATCCACCACTGACCCCACCCAGGTGCTAAAGTGGAATTTCTGCCTCCGCACGCGCGGCGTGTCGATCACCAGGTTGTTCTGGGTGGACACGGGTGGACAGTGGTCAGTGACCCCCAAATGACCACCAGGTGACCCCCAAATGACCACCAAGTGACCTCCAGGTGACCACCAGGTGACCACGCCCAAGTGACCACGCCCACCTGACCCCACCCAGGTGCTAAAGTGGAGTTTCTCCTCCCGCACGCGCGGCGCGTCAGTCACCAAATTATTCTGGGTGGACATGGGTGGACAGTGGTCAGTGACCCCCAAATGACCACCAGGTGACCCCCAAGTGACCACCAGGTGACCACCAGGTGACCACGCCCAAGTGACCACGCCCAGGTGACCCCACCCAGGTACTAAAGTGGAATTTCTGCTTCCGCACGCGCGGCGTGTCGATCACCAGGTTGTTCTGGGTGGACGTGAGTGGACACTGGTCAGTGGCCACCAAGTGACCACCAAGTGACCCCCAGGTGACCACCAGGTGACCACGCCCAAGTGACCACTCCACCTGGACCTGGACTGGGGGTCTCCACCTGCTTCAAGAACCTCCCTGGTGGCCATCCAGCCCCACCTGGACACACCTGAACCTTCTCCAGGGCCACCAAAAATGACCTAGACCCACCTGAACCTTCTCCAGGGCCACCAAAAATCACCTGGACCCACCTGAACCTTCTCCAGGGCCACCAAAAATCACCTGGACCCACCTGAACCTTCTCCAGGGCCACCAAAAACCACCTGGACCCACCCGAACCTTCTCTAGAACCACCAAGTCCCACCTGGACCTGCACCTGGGGTCTCCACCCGCCCCGCGCGGCCCCGCCCGGCCCCGCCCCGCGGCACCTTGGCGAAGGTGGAGCCCTTGCCCTCGCTCTCGATGGTGATGGTGGTGGTGCGGCGCAGCAGGATCTGCTCGATGTCCTCCTCGCAGAACTTGGCGCCCTCGTCGTCCTCGTCCATGATGGCGGCGTAGGCGCCCTTGCGCAGCAGGTCCTCGATCTCCTTCTTGGAGAACTGCTGGATCTGGGGGCAACGGGAGGGGATTGGGACGCGGCGGGGCAGCCCGAGGCCTGCCGGACCCGGCTGGGAGAACCTGGGCTGGGAGAACCCCAAGGTGGAGAACCCAAACCTGGAGAACCTGGGCTGGGAGAACCTCAACATAGAGAACCTCAACCTACAGAACCAGAGCTTGGAGAACCTGAGCTGGGAGAACCTGAGCTGGGAGAACCTCAACCTGGACAACACAAACCTAGAGAACCTGGGCTGGAAGAACCTCAGCGTGGAGAACCACAACATGGAGAACCTGGGCTGGGAGAACCTGGGCTGGGAGAACCTCAACCTGGAGAACCTGGGCTGGGAGAACCTGAGCTTGGAGAACCCAAACCTGGAGAATCCCAATGTGGAGAACCCAAACCTGGAGAACCTCAGCTGTGAGAACCTGAGCTGGGAGAACCTGAGCTGGGACAACCTCAGCGTGGAGAACCCAAACCTGGAGAACCTGAGCTGGGAGAACCTCAACTGGGAGAACCTGAGCTGGGAGAACCTGGGCTGTGAGAACCCCAACGTGGAGAACCTCAACCTGGAGAACCTGGGCTGGGAGAACCTGGGCTGCGAGAACCCCAACGTGGAGAACCTCAACCTGGAGAACCTGGGCTGGGAGAACCTCAACTGGGAGAACCTCAACGTGGAGAACCTCAATCTACAGAACCTGGGCTGGGAGAACCCCAGCATGGAGAACCTGAGCTGGGAGAACCCCAACGTGGAGAACTTCAACGTGGAGAACTCCAACCTGGAGAACCTGAGCTTGGAGAACCTCAGTTTGGAGAACCTGAGCTGGGAGAACCCCAACCTACAGAACCTGAGCTGGGAGAACCTGAGCTTGGACAACCCCAACCTGGAGAACCTCAGCTTGAACAACCTGAGCTTGGAGAACCTGAGCTTGGAGAACCCCAACGTGGAGAACCTCAACATGGAGAACCCCAACGTGGAGAACCTCAGCTTAGAGAACCTGAACTTGGAGAACCCCAACTGGGAGAACCCCAACTGGGAGAACCCAAACCTGGAGAACCTCAGCTTGGACAACCAGAGCTTGAAGAACCCCAACTTTGAAACACCTCAACTTGAAGAACTCCAACTTGAAAAACCCCAGCTTGAAGAACCTGGAGAAGATCAACTTTGAGAACCTCAACTTGAAGAACCTCAACTTTGAAGAACCTCAACTTGAGGAACCTCATATTTTCCTCAACTTTGAAGAGGCCCAACTTTGGAGAACCTCAGCTTAAAAAACCTCAACTCTGAAGAACTCCAACTCAGAAGAACCCGAAACTTTGAAGAAGCCAAACTCTGAAGAACCCCAACTTTGAAGAACCCCAACTTGAACAATCTTCACAACCTTAACTTTGAAAAACCTCAATTTGAAAACCCCAACTTTGAAGAACCCCAACTTCAAGAAACTCAACTTTGAAGAACCTCAACTTGAACAACCCCAACTTTGAAGAACCCCAACTTGAAGAATTTTCACAACCTTAACTTTGAAAACCCTCAACTTTGAAAAACCTCAACTTGAAGAACCCCAACTTTGAAGAACCCCAACTTTGAAAAACCCCAACTTTGAAGAACCCCAACTTCGAAGACCCTCAACTTGAAGAACCCCAACTTTTAAGAACCTCGACTTTGAAGAACCTCAACTTGAAGAACCCCAACTTGAATAACCCCAACTTTGAATAACCCCAACTTTGAAGAACCTCAACTTTGAAGAACCCCAACTTTGAAGACCCTCAACTTGAAGAACCCCAACTTTTAAGAACCTCAACTTTGAAGAACCCGCAACTTGAAGAATCTTCACAACCTCAACTTTGAAGACCCTCAACTTGAAGAACCCCAACTTTGAAGAACCCCAACTTTGAAGAACCTCAACTTGAAGAACTCTTGGAGAAGTAACCCCAACTTTGAATAACCCCAACTTTGAAGAACCTCAACTTTGAAGAACCCCAACTTTGAAGCCCCTCAACTTGAAGAACCCCAACTTTTAAGAACCTCAACTTTGAAGAACCCCAACTTTGAAGAACCCCAACTTAAAGAAACTCAACTTTGAAGAACCTCAAGTTGAACAACCCCAAACCCCATGACCCCAAACCTCCCGCAGACCCCACCCCACCACCCCAAACCCTTGGCAGACCCCACCCCACCACCCCAGACCACACCCCATGACCCCAAACCCCCCGCAGACCCCACCCCACCTCCCCGGCCCCCACCTGCAGGTCGTTCTGGGGGTTCCAGTCGGAGTCGAAGATGATGCAGGTGTCGGCGGCCGTCAGGTTGATGCCCAGCCCGCCGGCGCGCGTGCACAGCAGGAACACGAAGCGGTCCGAGTCGGGCCGGCTGAAGCGGTCGATGGCCGCCTGCCGCAGGTTGCCGCGCACGCGCCCGTCGATGCGCTCGTACGGGTACCTGGGGGGGACAGCCGGCGGTCACCGCGGCCACCGTGAGGTCCGGGGGTCCGGCGGCACCTCCCGGAGCAACGTCGGGCGTGGGGAGGTCACCAAAGAGCTCCAGGAGGCTCTTGGAGAAGGTTGAGGAGCAAAAATGGCTCCTGAGAAGGTTCTGGAGATCCTGGTTAGACCGTAAGAAAATCACCAAAGAGCTCCAAGAGGTTCTTGGAGAAGGTTGGGGAAGGAAAAATGGCTCCTGAAGAGGTTCTTGAAGTTCTGGAAGGGCACGGAACCTCCTGCCGTGGGACAACGAGGTCCCCAAGGTCCCCAAACTTTCTCCCAGCCCCATAACCACCTCCAGAACCAACGTTGGGCATAGGGAGGTCACCAAAAAGCTCCAGGAGGCTCTTGGAGAAGATTGAGGAGCAAAAATGGCTCCTGAGAAGGTTCTGGAAGTTCTGGTTGGACACAGAACCTTCTTCTTTGGGACAAGGAGGTCCCCCAACTTCACCCCATGGAGGTGCCCAGCCCCATAACCACCTCCAGAACCAACGCTGGGTGTGGAGAGGTCACCAAAAAGCTCCAGGAGGCTCTTGGAGAAGGTTAAGGAGCAAAAATGGCTCCTAAGAAGGTTCTGGAGATCCTGGTTAGACACAGAACCTCCTGCCATGGGACATCGAGGTCCCCAAGATCCCCAAACTGTTCCTTGGAGCTCCCCAAAACCACAGAAGTGCCCAGACCTCCTCCATGGAGCTCCAGAACATCTCCAGCGCTCCTCAAACCTCTTCCACGGAGCTCCAGAACCCCAAAACCTCCATTTTTTCCCTTTTTTTTTAATCCCAAAGCCCCGTTTTTTTCCCAAAATCCTTGTTTTTCTCCCCAAACCCCACCATTTCTGGATGAGGCTGTCCTCCAAGATGTCCAGGTGGACCTTCAAGTCCCATCTTCTCCCCCAAATCCCCATTTTTTCCCCATTTTCCCCATTTTTTCCCATTTTTTCCCCATTTTCCCCCATTTTTTCCCATTTTCTCCCCGTTTTTTCCCAAAACCCCCGTTTTTCGCACCATTTCTGGATGAGGCTGTCCTCCAAG